CTCCTCTTTCCTCCCCCCCTCCTCCCCCCCCCCCCCCCCCCCTCTCCCCCCCCCCCTCCCTCCCCCCCCCCCCCCCCCCCCCCCCGCCCCCATCTCTCCCTCTCTGCCTTTGGGAAATTCACAAAGCAGAAGCCAGAACAAAGCAAAGCAGAATTATGCTGGAACAGATCTTGGCACAGGTCTGCAAAACTTGGGACAAAGTTGCTTCCTCACTTGAGCCTTGTAGTGCTGCTGAGGCATGACTTTGCTCCGATTAGATGAAAATAAAACTCATGTGGAGGTTCCACAAAGCATTTTGTAGGGTGCTATATTAACCAGCTATAATCCTGACTAACAAGTAAGCTGCATTCTGCAATGGGACTGAGCAATATTAATTAAAAGTTTCCTCTTTGCATTGTATTTTTTCCTGTTTAGAACAGCTGTTGAATTAGTGATGAACCCTTCATCTGTTCCCTGCTCTCTGTATGCTCTTACTGGTATCCTTTCATCATCTCTCACCTTCTTGTTTCTTCCCTTTTCTTGATTTTATAGTGACAAGACATTATTTCGTAAACACATACAAAATCACACGGCATGATAATCTGCTACCAACTGCAGGAGTCCGCAACAGCCTCAATAATGTACTGCCTGTCTTTGGCACTAGGCAGACTGGCACTTCATCTGATTTCTAAGAAAGAAATGGTTGCAAATCAGGTCTGGGGGAAAAATCCAAAGGAACCACTGAGAGAACACTGGAGTGCCACCACATCATTTGAATTTCTTGTAAAAAGCAAGCACACAAAGGATGGCAGTTCCAGAAAAAAGGGCTGGCATGGAAGCAACCCTGTGAAGCTCAATGGGGTGACTGCAGCTTCCTCAGAAAAATCCAGCTGGACTGTGGTGAATTAGGCATACCCAAACGAGGCTGGGTGGTGTGTTGACTCCTTTTCTACCACTCACTGACCTCGCCTGACCTTTATGCTGAAAATGAGCAAGCACTTTCTTACCTGTAGCCACCCTGCCATCCTTGTTTTGTTCCTCTTACTTTACCTACCCATGTCCTGAACGAGTGTTGTGATGTCCTGGGAAGACTCCACCTTGAACTTGGGTATAGTTACTATAGTTGGTTTGAATGGCACATATTCCAGCTTAGACAACACAGACTGGATGACATTTGTGTTGAGACGTTCCTCCACCTCAGAGAGATGCTGAGACAGGGAGCGAGGCACTACGATGACCAGACTCATGTTGCGGTGCAGTTGGAACCGGGCAACCTGGCCAAATAAAAGACCCATTATTTATTTTTATTTATTTTATTTTATTAAAACATTTTTATGCCGCCCCATTCGCCGAAGCCTCAGGGCGGCTTACAACAATAAATCAGATTCACATAAATAAAAATTAAAATATATACATTAGAAAAAAAATACAATATAAAATAAGCCACCCTGGCCAGATAAAATTCAATAATATTAACATTTAAAATGCTGCTTAAATAAAAAGGTCTTCGCCTGGCGCCGAAAAATAAATAATGCCGGTGCCAGGAGGACCTCTCTGGGGAGCGCATTCCATAACTTAGGCGCCATTAGCTTCCTGTCCTGACAGAGCATTCCTTTTGCATGGCCAGAAACCTCTAGCTCAGCATTCCGAGACTTCTCCAACTTTCTTTGCTCTTTTTTCTCTCCCTGTGAAGGGTTTTGTAAGGAAGGCTTTACAGGCATGTCCCAGCTCATTCGCAGGAGCTGGCGCTGTGCAAGGAGATACCCAAGGCTGCCACAACTTGTTCAGGCAGCTGGGACTATAAAACAGGAATACCTTCAGGAACCAGAGGTGAACTACGTGTGGCCCTCAATGTGTTGCTGGACCCACACTCCCATCAGCCCCAGGCAGCATAGCTGATGGTCAGGGAGGGTGAGAGATGTAGTACACCAACAACTGGAAGACCACAAGCACCTCTGCTCTGGATTAGAATCCAGGAGCACACCTGCACCTCTTCTACTGCATAAATCAAGCTGACAATACTGTATTATCATCAGCTTGTTCTTGTTCTTTTTATGTTTTGTTTTCTTTGTTGTTGCAATCAGTCTCTACTTACTTGATAGTGCTGCTTTCTATATATATAGAAATACACATATGATCCATTTTAGAAACAAGCCAGCTGTAAGAGATTGCAAACAGAGGCCTCCCAACCTCATGGGTATTACCTTAGCCTGCAAGTTGTTATCAAAGAAGGAAGCCACTGGATATTTCTTGCTTGTCATCATGGGCACTTTGATGGGAGGGAAGCCTGGGCGGTAGAATTCTTCTGGCTTTGTGTTTTTCACTTTAAATACAGTCTTCCACTTGGCTGGAAAGGTGAAGCACTCAGATCAGAGAGAATGTGTTTACTGTATGTAGATATACAAGCCATATACGAACTTAGGATGAGCCCTGCTGAAGATGCTCATCTCAGTAGTGGACTCAGCTCCAAACACAATTTTCTTGTAAGGTAACTGGATCCCTTGTGCTTAAAAGGTCCCAACAACTAAGCAGATAAGGGGTTAAGGAGGACTAGCCACTGCACTCATGCTAAAGAGGGAGGACCCACATGGAAGCTATAACAGACAGATGTGATCCTGCAGTGGTATCCAGGCAAAATATGCAATACTTTTTTTTTTGTGCCTGAAGATGACAGTATGCATTTGCAGCAAGTGTGAGCTGGTTGCTTTACTAGCAGAAAATGTGAGAGGTCTGAAACAGGAAGCAGCAACTCTTCAAAGCATAAGAGAGGATGAAGTGTTCTTGGACAGAACACAGGAGGCATGAGAAGAACAGGTGCAAGGGGCCACTCCAATACAGGGGCAGGATTAATGAGAGGAGGAGCAAAATGTATGAACAACAGTGACAACCAGAAGGAAGAGATTCAAAAGGCATCCACACCCTGGAACTAAGGAAACCCTTTGAGGCTCCTGCACAGAGCCTTTGGGGTAAGATCTACAGCAGATCTCACAGGACAGGAAGATGCTGGGACCTTACAGAACAGGACCACTCTCTGCAGCAGGAAGAGAACAGCAGTCATGGTTAGTGATTCTATACTGCAAGGAATAGAAGAAGATGGGTGCTGGCCAGATCCATTAGTTTGGGAAGTATGTCACCTCCAAGGAGAACAGATTGGAGATGTGATGGAACAGCTCTAAAATGTATTAAATCCACAGATTTATGACTAATACTGCTAAGCACAGATATGCCTCCTGTGTCAGACTATGAAACTCTAGGAAGGAAACTAAAGGACTTCATGATGATGTGAGCCGCCCCGAGGCTTCGGCGAATGGGGCGGCATAAAAAACGTTTTAATAAATAAATAAATAAATAAATAAATAAATAAATAAATAAAATGGCTCAAGTGGTCCTTTCATCCATCCTTCCTGCCCATGGAAGAGCATTAGGAACAGAAAGAATTCTCCTGGTGAATAACTGGCTACAAAGGTGATGTCACTGGGAGAGCTTTGTTTTTTGGCAGCATGGTTTACACTTTTTGGATGAAGGACTATTGGCAGAATACAGACTGTAACTCACAGAGACTGGGAAGTATGTGTTAAACTGAAGGTTGATCAAGAGGGATTTAAGCTCAGTCCTGGGGGAATGGAGTTGAAAACCCAGAGTTCAGACTACAGATATAAGCTCATGCACTGTAGCAGAAATGGGAGAACAGCTGTAGCGGGGGCTGTTAAAACTTTTAATAACAATCCTGGGAGGTCACTGCAGCATAATATTCAGGGTTTTCAGTGTCTTTATATGAATGCTAAGAATATGGGAATTAAATAGGATAATTTTGAATTCTTGATTCAGGAACTGATACTTGGTGGGATGATGCTAATGAGTGAAATGCAGCAATGTAAGGGTATAACAAAAGTTACAGAAACAGAATTGCACTAAAGGCTAGATATATGTATTTGCACAGAAATTCAAAGAATGAAAATGGCAGCCCTACAGAAAGTCTCTCTATAATGGAGGAACAAATAATAATACTGCTTTGGCAATCTACTATTGAGCACTCTACCAAGAAGATGTGCACGATGCTTTTTGAACAGCAGACTGCAGATATTACAAGGAAACAGGTAGTAGTAATAATGGGGAGCCTTAATTATGCTTACATCTGCTGAACAAAGCTTGCTTGGCAAAGTTTATCTTGAGGACATTCCTGACTTCCCTTGCTGACAGTGCGCTTTTTCAGAGTGGGAGGAGGAGGGAGGGGATCAGGGATCCTTGATGTGATTCTTACCAAGTTAGCTGTCCAAGTGAAAGTTGCAGGTATTTTGAGGCAAAGCAGCCACGCAATGCTTGACTGAGTTCTTGATTCAGTTGAGAACTGAGCACAGTCAAATGTGAGCCATGGATTTCAAGAAAGTTGATTGTAATAGAGTGGTCTGGATTCACACAACAGTCCATCATGGCAAGTGGGTTGTTGTGTGAACTGGGTCAGAATTTCAGTAAGTCCGCAAGTTCTGAAAGGTACACCTCTATTGTAGAAAATGTATGAGGAAAGTAACACAGCCCTGAGAGATGACACGGTGAGGAAAAGGGGAATATTAGATCTGTTTGGGGAAAGTGTTTTAAGGGCGAATATCTGGAGTTATTTTTTCTGGGTGAGCAGTCCTTCAAGGTCAGATGCTGAGTACAGGAGAACCTAGGAACTTGTTACTTACAGCGGAAGTAGACAGCATTGAGCAGCACCATTTGGTCATTTGGATCCAGGTCATTCAAGAGCTTCTTGATCTTGTGGTTAGTATTTTTGCTCACCCATGCATTGATCTCGGTCAAATCCTGATGGCTGTTTTTTGTAAGTGGGAACATTTTGGTTTTATAGAACATCTCCGACTGGTTGAGAAAATCATTGCCCAATGAGAGCTCTGTGTAACAAAAAACAAGGATTGGAAAAGCTAAATTGCTACCCCCAGAAAGTTATGTTCCTGGTATTCGTGGATCTTCCTGACAGCTCTCTCTAGCCCTTGGTCTCCAATGTGGTGCATGCAGATACAACACTGGGCACTTGCCAGGCTCCCTGCACCTCCTGATTTTTATTCTAAGATTTTTTTTAAAGTGTGAAGCTGACAAGATACAAACAAAAGAGCAAAGCTTCTGCACCATTTTTATTTGAGTTCCCAACTGTGGTCTTACATTTTAGCTCCTACCTCTGCCTTGTACTGAGTTTCTGGGCAAGTTGCTTTTCTTTTTACCCCCTGCCCCCAGTTTGCTTTCTGGGAAATGAGTCTTTTGTGACTAGCCATGTCCACTATAACAGCAGTTTCATAAATGGTCAAGAAGATGGCTCCCCGCAAGGCCAACATTTATGAGGAAGTGCACAACACTCTCCCAAAAGTCCAGATAATAACACCACCCCTACAGGGTGGGTGGCCCTGCTATCCCAAGAAACAGCTGTTGCAATAGGATCTGTCACTGCTCAGGAGCACACGATTGTTTTATTTAGATTTTACAATTCAGCATTTCATTTCAAAGACAAAAATTTGTGGTTGGCAGCCACAGCTAATTCAGACATGGAGTTTGGTGCTCTTGGAATCATTCTTTTCCAAAGGATCCCATGATTATCTATAACTATATATGGAAATGTTACATGGGAATGAGTCGACCACATAACCTTTCATGGACAAAATATGGCAATGGCAACAGGTACTAACCAGGATATAAGTATGAAAACTTCTACTTTTCACGAAGCCTCTCCATCCGTGTGTGTGTGTGTGTGTGTGTGTGTGTGTGTGTGTATACAGTGCTTTTTTTGTCATAGAACACACCGGAACAGAGTTCCGGCACCTTTTTTCGACAGATTTTCCAAGTTTTAAAAGTAACTTTTGAAAATTTGATGTTTGGTCCACATGGATTTGAATCGCCCTGTCGAGCGTAGCAGGTCAGCGGCAAAATCATTAAAACAGTGCATGCAGGCTGCTTGTGTGTCGAATCTGATGCGTGTGTACTTTGTCCACACTGGTTGTGATGGCGCTGCTCGGCTTGGGATTGGTCATGTGGTTGCGCGCTGAGCTTACTGCAGGTGGCAACCGTTATGTTTCATTACACAACTGACGTGTGTGGGTGTGTGTACAGTGATTGACTACGTATGAAAGGTAAATAATTTCATGAGTTCCGGCACCTTTTTTCTTACAAAAAAAGCACTGTGTGTGTATGGGTGTTCACAAACAGCATACCTGTCAACATAGAAATGCTAGATTAAAGAGTTCTTAACATATAATCCTGCACTTTATGTTTTCCTTGTAGGAGTAGTAGAATGCCATTCACATGAGGTCTTCACCCAATAAATGCCTTGCATAGAGAAGTCTTAAATCCAGAGATATCACATGAAGAATAGATAAGCCTTGTGCTTAAAATTAAGAAGGTCCTCCCTCCTATAGACATCCTTCACTTTTTAAAAATTAGTTATTTAAGTGCATTTATTTAGACATTTCTACATTGCCTTTCTATATCAAATCAACTTAAGGCATTTGTGCAAAATACACACATAGAATAAAAATGCATGAATAGATGCCTTTAAAAGTTTAAAATTTAAAAAATAGAAAAAGCACCCTGAACAAATGGAAAGATCATTTATTCAGTATAAACAGTGGGAACATATCAATGAAACAGCAACATGAACACATTAAGTAAAGGACATTTGAAACAGGTGAGATTTCAAAGCCTTTTAAAATAGTGGAAGGGAGCTCCATAAGACAGGGCCTGCTGCTGAGAAGTCCCTGTTCTTAGGTCTCACTAGCCTAACTAATTTTAAACAAGGGCCAGCAAGTTGGGCCCACATCCTGGTGTTCTGGGATGTTCCTCAGGGCAGATGGGATTGGAGCTTTTCTGTATCTCCGTAGGTCATTTGGTCCAGCAGCAACCATAGAGTTCTGACCATCTGAATGAACATCTCATCCTACTTTCCTTGAATCCAGTATTATGAACTGAAAGTGCATAATACTGGATTCAGCTGTAATCCACGGATGGAATATGTATCAGGTATAATCCACCACTGTCAACCAAATGTCAACTGCAGCCTAAGATGGGGTATTATGGGAAGCAGAGTGGCAGCAAACTAGATCCAAATGACCCCTCCAGACAGCAACAACAGTGGTCAGGTAAAGCTTGGAACACAGCACTGGCCAGTCCAGGCTTCAACTGCATGTCAGTTTAATTAATGGTATTTTCCTGAGTACAAGAGGCAGTCAGCTAAACCAATGACTTTGGGGGATCCATAGCCCATAAGGGCTTTGGAACAGTTAGAGGGCTGCTCTTGAATTTATCAAGGGACTTAACTGGTTGTATGTCCCCAAAGCAGTGTCTGATTGGTTCAGCTTGCTGCCACTCTCCCATTACTGTGAAAGCAAGAAAAATACTGTGATTTAAAGTTGCATCTGTGAACATCCTCAGTGAAATATAGGCATTCGGATGTTTTTTGTGGAGCTTAGAGGATATTATCATCATCTTTTAATGTTCATTTCTGCCATGAGTGCTGCTAGATTAAAAGATGACTTTTCTCTCTTCTTTTTCTGGGATACTATTATCATAATTATTTTTTCACTCTGTCAATTCCCTCCCTCACTGCTTTACACTCATGATCTTTAAGTCATGATGCATGGGAACTGTTTGTGAAGCAGGAGAATGTAGGCCCAAAGAAGATTTGCATGTCCCCATCCCCTAATAGAAACAAAAATGTGAAAGTGTTGCACTTTGGGAATCGGAGGTGTGACAGGGTGGAAAAAATCTTGCCACAAAAAGGGTATAAATTACATCATCCCTTTTCATAGACAAAAATCCCTTGTATCTTCGCTTTCTCTTGACAAGCCTGTCAAGTGTTGCTGTTGCTAGATTTTACACTTTTCTCTAAGACTCTAGGTGCTCAGGAATGTGCAAAAGGGAACCCCCTTGCTTTTTCTTGAGTTAGCTGTCAAAACTCAGTGTTCCTCTGAAAGGGGGTTTTGGCACAGCATGTTCACAGGGCGGCTTAGCATGACATGTGAATCCACCCTCCATGTATAGTTTAAAGCACCATAAAAGTTCAGTGACACTGATAAATGTGACCATGGTAGAGAAAGAAATTAAAATAGAAGATATCAATATCCCAGGAAATCTATTTTTTCCCTGTGAACCTATTTCACGATATTCAGGAACAGCAATAGTTGTATGTGACTGTGGTGGGAAGCAAAGCTGTATCTTAGCTAGGTCACCAAAATAGTTTGAAATGACTCACCTTGAATCTGCAATTTTACTCACCGGGTTGGTAAAAAATTGCATTGGCTGAGAGCAATGTTTCTGATTTGCTAACAGATTTCAGTGCTTTATGAACACAAGCAAAATTTTCAGGATAGAAAAGCAGATTCTCAAGACGCTGTTTGGTTTCACCGCAAGCTCCTATATGGCAAAGACAAGGATGCATGGAGAAGGTACATGTTATTAGCATGCAGGAGAGGACTTTGCTTCAGCAAGGTGTTAAGGGATAAATGGGTAGGTCCTCTTTCCTTAAGTCAAGAGTTCTCACATTGTCCTTATGACTGTGAATCCATATCCTGCTGATTATATTGTATCATCATACAGTTACATCTGGTGGCTTGTGAAAGTGTCATTGCCTAACATTTCCAAGGAACAGTTGCTTGATATTTTCCCTCAGAAGCCAAGATGCCTCAAAACTGTGTAAACAACGCAGGTAACTTCCACTACATTTGTGATGAGGTTACATTTACATCTCAAAAGTGCAGTATAACGGCAGTGGTAAAAAGGCATACCACCTATATTTTGGATGCAAAATAGGGGATCGGGACAAGAATTGGGCACCTCATTATTGTTGCATTACACATGCAACTTGTTTGTGTCATTGGCTAAACAAGAAGAAGAAGTCCATGCCTTTCGCAGTCCCAATGGTGTGGAGGGAACCCACCAATCCTAGTAACGACTGCTATTTTCGCATGGTTTCCCCAATTAAAAACCAATAAATGAATGGAAAGTTATATTATTAGTATCAATAAAAGATAAATTTATAATGATTATCGTGGCACCATTCTCATTGCTATATCACATTTTGCAGAAAAGTTGTGATATGGAGTATAATTGCACATCCCCCCTTGTAATTTTGAATTATTTTGATGCAATTTTGACCTGAAGCTGTATCTTGGACACTGGAGCCAATTAATACTCAGGACTCAATTTCCTTTTATTAGTGACCCAATTCTGGTAAAATTTAGCTACTTTCATTTCCGAGGCTTTCTCCTTGCAGACCAGCGTAGTTGAGTAATGAACCCTTGCCATCTCACTCATGCTGCGGCCATCTTCCCTCAGCCCTCGTCAGTGCTCTGTGCCCCTAAAACTAACGACTATCAAGATGTGACGGCTAGCAGCCAAAGGAGGTGACAAGCAGCAAGGGAAATGGGGGGCCCAAAGCACCTGGAGGGAAAGTGCTTTGGCAGTGGATGGCCTTACTTCTGTGTAAAGTGAAGTAGCTTTTCAAAAGTCCCAAAATGGAGGATGAAATTGACTAGGACTTTGACAAGGGAGCAATATCAGCATGGGGTAAAGATCTGAGGGCGGGTTTTGTGCTGTTTCACAACAAAGAAATTCTAGAAATGGAAAGGAGAGGTATGTATCCCTACAAATGAATTCTGGGATTCACAAGAGTTTTGAAAAAGAATTCCCTTTGACATTCTGCTATGGGGGGGAGTCTCTCTCCTTAGCCAGCAACCCCTGCAGACCAACTGCAGAAAGGATGCTGAAGTAGGGAATGAAGCAAGAAAGTGTTTCATTACAAAGGTTCCTGTGGTATGAGCTGGAGCTGGCAAGAGGGCCCAGGGAAATGAGGTGGGGGAGTGTGGAACAAGCCACAGTAAGCATAATAATCTGTTGGAGGTACCATGGCAAAAAAGCAATCCATGGTGGCTTTCAGCAGTGTGGCTTAGCAGGACATGCTAACCTGCCTTAAGTATAGCTCCAACCCATGATATTCCCATTATTCTCACAAGAACAACCAGTGCAAACAAAGGCACTTAGCTTCCAGGTACCATAGAGACACCTCCCAGAGAGGCCAAGGAGAAGTGCAAGCATTTTCTTTATGCTGTTGATGCAAAACACGGAAGTCTATTCAGTGTTGGTGAAGTATGGTGCTTAAGCTTAAATGTATGGAGAGATTAATAAAGCATCACAGTCTCCCTACAACAGGCATGCACGACAGTTGTGGGTTAAAGATTTGAAAGGGGTATATTGGTTATCATCTTTGAATAAAAGAAGACATCTAAAAGGAATGATCCATAACTTACATTTTTCCTACATGGAGATAATCTTTGTATCGCAAAACATAGGTATATAGCAACATTTAAAATACAGTGTGAGATTTTATGAAATTATGCAATCAGCTGACAAGCACTGTGACATGTCCTTCTAGCAGAAGGAACACTCATGCTATACATCATACATGATGATAGAGCCCCTATCCCTACAGAGAAAAATATTAACAGATGCAGAGACCCTAAGTTTATAGCAATTAGATACCAACTTGACAGCATGGCCTTACCTAGCAAGAGGTTGGAGAGCATGATTGAGATGCTCATGGGTGAGAAGATGAAGTTAGAGTCATTCTTTTCATGCTGAATTGCTGTTTTATAGGCCTCTATTGCAAATTCAGTTAGAGAGTTATACAACTCTGCTTCATCCTTTGGAGTTGGATCAGTACATGCAGCCCACAGGTTACTGTGTGATTGGCAGTTTTGCGACAGGCAATTGCTATCAGTAGTTGTCACTGCTATTGTGTGAGTTGTGGCAGGCTCTGCTGTGGTTAATGCCACAGGAGACAGTGCAGTGGCATTCTGGCATTCTTGAACAGGAGCCCCAAAGTCATCCGTCTGCTTACAAGCAGTGGTGGTACCACCATCCTCTTCTTCGCCTTCTATTCCGTAAGATGTACGATTCAAGTTAGTAGTGGCTACCCCTTCCTCATGGATCTCTTCTCTTTGATCATCTTCCTGCGCAGTCTTTATTCTCTCAGAGATCTCTTTATCATTGTTAGCTGAAGTCTCCTGTCAAGTAGTAGTATTCATTTTACTATTTGCCATATTCCTATCCTATCCAATAGCCAAAGCTCTCTGGATGGTTCATGGAAGTTAAACCCCCCACAATATGGTCATAATAAAATATAAAGTTAAAACAGCAGTATGTTGTAGTAGTTAGTGTGCATTATGCTTCTAGCACTATTCAGTTGGGGTTCTTTCAGACAAGACTTTTGCATGTCATCACCCTGCCTGATTCACAGTATTTTGCAAGGAAGTTCCAATATTGGCTTCCTCAACTTCTAACCTTCCCATTTTTTCCCTCCTGCTTCTTCTGTTTTCTTACTGCAAGAAAACCATTTAAAAGGCAGAACAGCTGCAAAAATTCCTTCTTTGGTTAGCACAGGAAAACAAGCACGCCCTGCATCTGGAAGCACCTGGTGAGAGATCTGGAGTGCCTCCAGTTGGGCTTTTACCTTTCATCCTGCCTCATTCTCAGAATTTAACAAGGACAGAGGGTCAAGATGAGGCCATCCTCCACTTGTGACCCTCCCATCTTCTCTAGGTACTTCTCTCTCTGTCTTTTTTTACTGAGGAGAATCTGTCAAGGAGGAAGAGACAGCATGGCTGCACAAGGCCATCTACCCATTATCACAAGAAACCTTCCATTTGGAAATGCCCCTGGTCTTTTTCTTAATCAGGAAGAGTACTATATACTTCTCTCTGGCTCCTAACAACTATTTCTTGACAATGGAACTTTGAGAATAACCTGCTTGGTTTCTTTTAATTTAAATCACCTGTGTGACAGCGATCCTTGACAAAACCCTACCTCATGGCTTTGGCAAAATTTTGTCCTTTCACATAAAAGATGCTCTAAGGGTCACCATACAAGCTATGTTAAGCGTATCATTGTATTCAACGTGATTGTTTTCCAGGAACAAAGAGCAGGTGCATGGTGCAAGTTTTCCTGAGGAAGACTGCAATAGGCTTGGATTAGAGCCACTCTCTCCCCCTCTGCTACAGTCCACAAAAAATTGGTCTCTCCCCTGAAGCTTCTCTTTGCCATGGGATGAAAGTTCCCATCGGTGCCAGTGGGGATTTCCCCTTTACCCCAATGAAAATAGCAACTTCAGGAGGGTGATTTGTGTTGGGACTGAGGTAGAAGGAGAAAGGTTTGAACTCCTCCGTTTTCCACATGATCTTAATCCAAATAAAGCTTCCCAGGCCAGCTATTTTTCCTTTCTTTTAAATCAACCCAACCCAACCCAACCCACTTTGAAGGCAACAGCACATTTAATGTATGGTGTAGTCAGTCCTATTGCTTTCTGGGTTGTTTTTTTTTTTTTTCCTTGACATGTTAATCTGTAGGGGCAGCTTTCAGAGGGGAACCTGATCAGGTCTGCTGTTTCATTGATCTGCGTTCCTTCTGTTCAAATTGCTTGCTTCTAGACCAGACTTTTCATGAGAGCAACTTTTTGAAGTTCTCATAAAATGACAACCATGCGGGAGGACTCACCCATTCATAAACTGGCTGGCATGGTAAGCATGGCCAGTCACAAAATATTCATTTCCCAGAAGGCAAACTGATGAGACTTAAAAAAAAAAAGAAAGTAATTTGCTTAAGAAATTCAGTACAGGGCAGAGGTGTGTTCTGAGCTCCAAAACACAAATTCACCCCTTTGAACCTGAATAAAGATTGTGCTAAAAGAGAGCCCTTTGGTTTGCACCATGCCAGCCTCCCTGATTCACCCTGCTCCCACCCATTAGCCTTAAGAAACAAAATTCAAATCTTAAGGTCAAAAATATCTGGAGGGCACAAGGTTGTTCCCGGTTGGCATCCGGAACACACAACAAATGCCTCATTCAGGATGAGGAAGCAATTCAGTTTTAAGCATGATACATTAAATATGATTGTTGGTCCAAAACCAGAGGTGAACCATAATTAATTCTCCTTCTATGCTGGATTATGGTTCATACCATAATTCGAAAAATCAGCTTCTTTGGAAGAATCTTGAAGGTGAATCCATTTCTCTCAGTACCCTCAGGTCCTTCAGAATTCCCAGCAGCCTGAGAAAGAAGGAGTTCCAGTTTCTCTCAATAATGTGGTCTGCACAACATGATAATCCCACTGTGGGTGACAAGCCATCATGGGTTGTCATAAGAACCTGAACCAATTGTTTCGGGAAGCCTTGTTCATGGGCAACAAGTCACTCTGACCACCCATAGATCATTCTTGGAGTTGTTCAACCTACAACGGCTTGTCATATTGTCTAAACCCAGGCAACCGACCCCTTTGTGGCTTGTGGGAAGCAGCTTGCAGGCTACTTGGCAGAAGCAGCAAGCCCCTTTTGCCACTCCTGCTACACTAGCTTGGGCCACAGCAAGGGCCAACTGCCCCACTGATGCTCACGTGGCGTGGCGGCGTGGCCATCAGTGGCTTGGTGCTCTCTTTCCTGGATCATTGGCTCTTCTGCACTGACTGCGGCTCTCCCCCTCTCTTCAGGATCTCTGATCTGCCAGTTAGTGACAGCCCCTTCAAAGTAGCTGAGCAGGAGGGACTGCGTCCAGTTTGCTCCCTTTTTAGTGCAAGAAATTTACACAAATGTCTCAAACATTTTGAAATTAATTTTTAGAGTTGCTCATACAATGTGCACTTGCATGGGTCCAAAAAGGGCAAACTTGCCTAGGCAATGTCCTGGAGCTAATCTGCTGTCCAAGTAGAGCTGCTGCCTCTATCATGGGCATCGACTTAAAGAGCCCTCTAGCATTTTCTTTTCCCTTCACTTTCTTTAGACAGAGTCACAAGAGGCTAGTAGATCACCTCCTTCACCATGAAGGGGGTGGAGTGTTGTGGGTTTGTTTGCTTGTTTGGGATTTGGGGGTGGGGGTTCGAGCTGACTCTTACAAGTTTCTCACAAATGTCCACCTTTTCCCAAAATTTTAACGTGTGTTTTTTTTTTTCTGAGAGGGTTATCAGACTAATATGATAGTGGCATATAGAGTATGAAAAACCTTCCCTTCACAGTATCTCTTACTGAAACTTGAGGTACACTTGTGTGCATTATACTGTGTTGGAATGATGGGGTAGGAAATCAATCTCAAATATAAAGTATGTGTAGAAGACTGATTTCCAGGCACACACTTTAAACTATGGGTCTATACTTTAGTTAACCTATTGAAAAGCCATCATAGTCCTTCCCACCATTTTGATTTAAATTATAGTAATTATTTCTAAATCTGCATCTATGTCATATCCATCTATCCACAAATTAACATATACAAATCAGTGTCTTCTTTTGCCCTTTTTACGTGATACAGTTTCTTCTTTTCAGCAATAAATACCTTTGGATGCCAGACCACCACAATACACGGTGTTAGACCTGAACGAAGCAGGTATGTGAAGAACGGTGGTCACGGTGTCCTTCAGTTTGATCCTTGGAGCTCACTAACTTGGGGCACAAGTACATGAAGATATCTGTAACCTTCAGAGGATTATGGGCAGGGGGTTAGTGAGTACAAGGGGCAAAGGTCACCTCTGTCTTACTCCCATCCTGTAATGCAGTTACGTGGTTATCTGCTTGTGCTGCTTTGGAGGAGGAGAAAAGGAGGTGGAGGTATAGCTAGGGTGTATCATAACTTGGCAGCACTAATTTCATCTGTGCCCTCTAAACCTCTTTTAAAAACTGTTTAACTTTGTATTTGGTATATTTTAATTACATTCTGACAGTATTATGCTAATTGAGTGGCACAGAAATGCTTTAAATAAATATAAAATAAAATAATAAATAAAATAAAATAAACCTCAGTGACCTCAGTAAAGGAGCCAGTGCAGTTGTTTCTGACTGCAGAGTCCCAACTTTGATGTTGGAGATGGGACTCCAAAAACTCATTTGGCCCTCTTAGATGCTGTCTATGGGCCACAGGATTGCTCTGCCTGGCATAATTCTGTAAGCCAGGGAAATAATTGGTTGGACTCAGTCACACCTTCACAACCTGATCAATAAGTAACAATCTCACCTTTATGAAGAGGTGTTTGACTGTCTGTATGACATTCCAGAACAAGCCATTTCCCTTCTTAGGCTCATCTGTCCCCACAACATCTTGAGGGAGAGGAGTAGTAACTGCATCTGTTATTCTGCCATCTTCCACCTCCTTGATAAAAAAATATTGTGGAGAAAGAAATCCCCATTAAATCAGTACATGTACTCTTGTTTATCAGATCTAATACATACTTCTGGAAATGGTGCTATGATTGGGAAAGGTTCTTGCTCTAATATGAATAGAGAGTCCAAGTGATGGTTGCAGTTAGATTCAGAGATGTGTACTTAACTAGTAATGGCTCCTTGTTGCTCAGATTCTTTATTTCCATCATCCTGAAAGGCAAGAAGGGTCACAGCTTCCTTTTATTGACCACCTATCACCTTCTTTATGCAAGATATCCCAGGGAAACAAATCTACCAACAGATGGATGGAAGTTCCTCACTGAGACAGAAACGATGTCCTCAGCTGTGTGGGTTCTAGCCTCCAAATTGATGCCATTCCCTTATCTGGTCTTCATAAGTTGTTTTACTGGATCACACTTCTAGGGCAGGACAGTCACAGGTGCACAGAGATTTGTGAGTCCTTGGAGTTACTTCATGAAAGGGAGGAAAAGGGATCTAAGCTTCTTCTGGTCTATAGTCTGCAATCGGATGTATGAAGTATAGAAGGGGGGAAAAACTCCACTAAATAAATCAACTTTCTCCAACCTAGTATGCTCCAGCTCTTGTTGGACTTCAATTCCCATCAGCCTCAGATAGCTTGGATGTTGGGGAGCTATAACCCAAAACATTTGGAAACCCCTTGGTGAAAGACACCAAAATGCTGAGATAAATCTATTCTATCTGCAGGGATGGGCAAGTTATGGTCTTCTAGATGTTTTGTCCTACAACTCCCATCATCCCTCACCCCTCACCACTGGCTGATGGAAGTTGCAGCCCAAGATACTTGAAGAACTACAAGTTACCCATTCCTGATTTCCTTCTACTGGAATCAATGAATATGTTTCCTATTTAAACAAAAACTGTGTGTGAGTTATGTTCTAACTCTAGAAGTAACAAGCAGCACTGGCAGCTAAAATTTTGCAATGTGTTTTGAAACAGAACCAGTCATAAAATGAGGTAGTTCATTTCTGTTCTAATCCAGCTATTCCATCACAACCTGTTAAAGAAGCTCATTCATTCTTTTATCTCTAACATGGAGATAAGGGAAGGAACATGGAGGAAAGAAGGTCAATCTTTTAAGCAAATAATATTGTTAGAAGACGTATTCAAGGGGAGATAGATTCCCATGCAAAAGATGGATTTCCATGGCGTGTTATGTTCACACCATGCTTTACCACTATGCTCTTGGGAAAGCTCTTCTCACTGTTGGCAGCTGGTACCTTGAAAAGTTGGAGTGCTACCAGGTCCACCTACTTTGCCAAGCCAGTCCTACTAGAGCATGGGTCCTCAAACTAAGGCCCGCGGGCAGGATTCGGCCCGCCATGCCCATTTAACTGGCCTGCTCCAGAGGTTTTGCACTCACTGTGTGTGGGCGGGCAGCTTGCTCGTGAGGAAGTCGTTTTGGATTCGCTCGGAGAAAAGGATCTCCTTGTGAGCAAGCCGGTGCTTCGCCGTGCGTGTCCTCCCCTGCCCCTGCCTTGCCCCCTCACCGACCTGCGCCCCCACCCCCCGCCGGCACCGCCTTGGCGGCCTGTGCCTACTGCTGGCACCTGTCGACTGGCCCCCTGTTGAAAGAGCTTGAGGATCTCTGTACTAGAGCCCGGTGGGGGGTGAGGCAGTGCCTGGCAGGCTGGCCAGGAGTAGGAACCTGGCTGGCCAAGGGTCAGCTCCTGGAGCAGATAGGTCAGGGGACAGAGTTCATAGAAAGCATTCTCTTCATCTGCATGCAGGGCTATTGCATGTGCTTATAAATTCTCTGGCATGCTAAACAATGTAATCTATACCAGCTATCTGGCCCCACAGTTCCATGCAAGATCAACTATAGAGGTACTCCAAACAGAAAGATACAAATAAGAAGAAAAACTTCATAAAGGTGAGCCAAAAGAAAAATTACATTATAGACTGATTACATTATATCCTTTATATGATCAAGGGATTACGCATGTGCGTAGAAGATCTGGGAAACATATAACTATTTAGAGAAAGGTATTACCAAAGTCCAAAACACAGCCAAACATCTGGCCATTCTATCTTTTCCTGTGTACAGACAGAGGTCACATAATATATCAAGTTTTATTTATTTATTTTATTTATTAAAACATTTCTATGCCGCCCCTTGCCAAAGCCTCGGGGCGGCTCACAACATTGAATAAAATACACAATAAATTTTCTTTCTTGGAATACAAAAATACTGCAGGCGAATGACAGGGGAAAGGCTGTGCTCTTTGTCCATGCTCTTTTAGGCTTCCTAAAAGTGCTTGGCCACCCATTGCTACAGACTGCTGGACTACAGGGAGACAAGCAAGTTGCCCAAGGCCACAAACCAAGTACTTACAAAGCAGAGGCCAGGTCTGTGCCCCAAACATCAAACTACATGTGACAAGAAGGACCTTGGCATTGTTGTAGATCACAAGCTAAACATGAGGCAACAATGTGATGTAGTAGCTGCAAAAAGGGCAAATGCTATTTTAGGCTGCATTAATGGAAGTATCACTTCCAAATCACATGAAGTACTAATTCCCCTATACTTGGTGCTAGTCAGACCTCACCTGGAGGACTGTGTCCCGTTCTGGGCCCCACAGCTTTAAAAAGATGCAGAAAGCTGGAAAGGGTTCAGAGGAAGGCAACAAGGATGATCCGGGAACTAGAAACAAAGCCCTATGAGGAAAGATAGAAAAAACTGGGCATGTTTAGTTTCCAGAAGACTGAGGGGAGATAGGGTAGCACTTTTCAAGTACTCGAAAGGCTGCCACATAGAAGGACATGATCTCTTCTCGATCATCCCAGAGTGCAGGGCGTGGAATAATGGCCTTTAGCTGCAAGAAACCAGATTCAGACTAGTTACTAGGAAAAACTTCTTCACTTTTAGAGCAGAACAACAATGGAACCAATTACCCAGGGAGGTGCTGGGCTCTCCCGCACTAAAGGCATTCAGGGTGCAACTGGACAGCCATCAGGGAGAGAGATCGTGCTGCACTAGTAGGGGGTTGACCTGAGGGTTTTCTGGGCCCCTTCCAACTCTGTTCTGTGATTCTGCCATTTTCTACTGCAATAAAATGTTCATTTTATAGAAAGCAAATTGGTGAGGCTGAGAGACAAACAATTTGCCCAAGAAATTAGATTTAAAAGCAGGTGTGGGACCTGAGCACCAAAACATTATTTTTGATCCCACATCCTTTTGCTGCAACAGAGCATCTATTTCATATTTATTTATTTATTAAAACATTTCTATGCCACCCCATTCACCGAAGCCTTGGGGTGGCTCACAACATTAAGTTAAAATACAAACATTAAGTTAAAACATTAACTTAACATAACATTAAGTTAAAATCTTTGTAAAATACAAAAATTAAGTTAAAATACAAAAAATAACAATATAAAATAAGTCGCCCTGGCCAGATAAAATCAAATAATATTAACAATTAAAATGACACTTAAATAAAAAGGTCTTCGCCTGGCGCCGAAAAACAAATAACGACGGCACCAGATGGACCTCTCTGGGGAGCACATTCCATAGATTAGGCGCCACTGCAGAGAAAGCCCTCCTCCGAGTACCCACCCTCCTAATTTCTTTCACGGAGGGTTCCCGGAGAAGGGCCTCTCCCGCAGATCTCAAGGGGCAGGCAGGCATATATGGATGTAAGCGCTCCTTCAGGAAACCAGGACCCAAGCCATTTAGGGCTTTATAGGTCATCACCAACACCTTGAATTGGGCCCGGACTTCAATGGGAAGCCAGTGAAGCTGACGGAGAACTGGAGTCATGTGAACATAACGCCCAGTCCCCGTCAGCAGCCTGGCAGCTCTATTTTGAACCAATTGAAGTATCCGGACCGTCTTCAAGGGTAGCCCCACGTAGAGCGTGTTACAGAAGTCAAGGCGGGAAGTCACCAGCGTGTGTGTCACTGTCGCCAGGCAGTCGTACTCCAGGTAGGGGTGCAACTGATGAATCAGCCGAAGCTGAAGGAAAGCGCTCCTCGCCAGTGCTGTCACCTGAGCTTTCAGTGAAAGCTCCGGGTCAAGGAGCACTCCCAGGCTGCAGACCTTGTCCCTAAGAGGGAGTGCAACCCCATTTAGGACTAGGTTCAATTCACCCTCTCTGAAGCCCAATCCGCCAACCAACAGGACCTCCGTCTTGTCTGGATTGAGCTTCAGTTTATTGGCCCTCATCCAGCCCATTACCTCGGCTAGGCACCGGTTCAGTACAGCCACTGCCTCACCTGGATTGGTTGAGAAAGAGAGGTAGAGCTGGGTATCATCAGTGTACTGATGATTCCGCAGCCCACACCTCCTGATGACCTCTCCCAGCGGTTTCATGTAGATGTTGAACAGCAAAGGGGACAAAATGGACCCCTGCGGTACTCCATGGCATAGCTGCCATGGTACAGAGCCATAGTTCCCCAGCACCACCTTCTGGAACCAGCCATTGAGATAGGAGCGGAACCACTGCAAAGCAGTGCCCCCAGCTCCCAATCCCGCTAGCCTATCCAGAAGGATACCATGGTCGATGGTATCGAAAGCCGCTGAGAGGTCCAGGAGAACCAACAGGGATGCACTCCCCCTGTCCTTCTCCATGCACAGGTCATTGTACAGGGCGACCAAGGCAGATTCAGTACCGTACTGTCCTTTAAAGGTGCAGGCACCTGACCCTCCCTTAGAGAAGCGTTAACCACTTCCAAGATCCAGATCCCAATCCCGTGCTTGGAATTATTTATTAACCAAGACGGGCAAGGGTCCAATAGGCAAGTGGTGGGACGTACTCGTCCAAGCACCTTGTCCACATCATCGGGCCGCAATAACTGAAATTCATCCAATAATTCTGGACCAGACGGCAGCATTGGTGTCTCCCCAGAAACCTCTGATTCACTAGTGGTGTCCAGCTCGTGACGAATCTGAGCGATTTTCTCCCTGAAATGCCTGGCAAAGTCGTCACAGCAGGGCTTTGAGGGTGGAACCAGGTCTTCCTTAGGACCTGGACGAACCAGGCCTTGCACCACTCGAAAAAGCTCTGCCAGACAGCATTGTGAGGAGGCAATGGAAGCGGAAAAAAACCTCTTTTTCGCCACCCTCACCGCCACAGCATAGGCCCGACAGTGGGCTCTCAAGTGTGTTCGGTCAGATTCATCCCGTGATCTCCTCCACCTATGCTCTAGCCGTCTCCCAACCTGCTTCATCACCTGCAATTCAGGTGTATACCAAGGGGAAGAGCGGGCTCTGCCCGGTGGGAGAGGACGCTTAGGAGTGATCGAGTCCACAGCCCTGGTCATCTCCCCGTTCTACAGTTTGACCAAAGCCTCGACAGGAGCACCCGTCTTGTCAGCCGGAAACTCCCCCAGGGCCTTCAGGAATCCATCCGGATCCATCCGGCTCCGGGGGCAGACCCACACAATCAGGTCAGCACCCTTGCAGAGGGAGAGGTCGCTCTCAAGCACAAACCTCACCAGGAAGTGATCTGACCATGACAGGGGAGTCAAACGTAAATTCCTCACCCTCAGATCCCCCTCTTCCTGCCCCGTCGGGAAAACCAGGTCCAAAGTGTGTCCATGTCATGGGTCGGGCCGGTGACATGTTGAGACAGCCCCATGGCCGTCATGGAGGCCATGAAGTCCTGAGCCGCCCTGGTCAGACCAGTCTCGGCATGGAGACTGAAGTCCCCCAGCACCACCATCCTGGGGGTCCTCAACACCAGGTCCGAGACGGTCTCCATCAGCTCAGGCAGGGAGACTGTTGGGCAGAAGCGTGCATGGTACACCAACAGAATCCCCAATCTGTCTCAGTCGCCCAACACCAAGTAGAGGCACTCCAGCCCTGGTCTCAAAGGGAAGGAAGTCCCGTGAGAGAGATGGAGGCTCGGTAAACCAAAGCGACCCCCCCTCCCCTCCGGGTGTGAACAGTGCTGAACCAGATAAAGTAAGACAATTAATTGCCCATTCAAAATCATCCCCATTCACTTAGTTTACTTCACATTAGTTATCTACTCAGATAACCCCAAATAAATTCAAGTAATTTGCACCTTATCCCAAATGAATGTTCAGTCCTTGATTAATTTCCCACCCAGATGTAGGTTTAAACCAAGTCCACCCAAAATTTACATCCTATTCAAATTGTCTTCAAACCAGTTTTGCCTCAGATAAATTCTCCTTAAATCAATTTATTTCTCTTTGCTGCCCAAGTTCCAAAAGAAGGAAATAGCATTCAGATTATTAGCCAACTCAACCAATGTAGTGCATTCAACCCTGCCCCAAACTTTACAAAATGGGCACCAAGGAGATTTTCTTCCCTCTTCCCTCTTTCACCTTGTTACAAAAGAGATGCAGTGTTCAAATTGTGCACTATGGCAGGGGTTGAGAATTGTTTTGGCCAGGGGGCAACTTCCAAATGGAAGAAGGTTTTGGGAACACATGCCAGCAGTAGCAAATATGTGAAAGAGCAGGTGCATAGGACTGAAATACAAAGATGTCTCAAGTGTGAAATAGGATTAATAAATGTAGAGATTGAAACTAAAGTTTCAGAATTGAACTCTGTTGAAACAGAGTGGATGCCGGCATAGCACCCACAATTCTTTGGGTTGCCAAAATTAATTAGCATATCAACAGGTTTCAGTAGGTTTCTTCTGCTCTTAGATTTACGCCATTTAAGGAAAGTAAGTGCGGATGTCTTTAAATATTTATAAGTATTCTAATGGAAATATCTACATAATAGAACACTGAAATCATATTGTATGCTTTAATGTTTTTTCCATAATGTTTTTCTTGTCAAATAATTGGGTTATATTAGAACAAAAAAATAAACATTTGATATTTTGTTCTTTACCAGCTCTAAGTAAAATAACTATGCTAGGTAATACCATTTTCTAGGGCACCTGCATTTTTCTAGTGCAAACTAAAAAGTCTTCCTGAAAACCCGAAGCACTGAAAGTACGACACAGGGTTGTCTAGAACCTTCCTACTCCAGATAAGACTGTTATGTCCAGGGTCTAAAATCATCAAGCAGCAATACTGTTGACAGGCTGGCTGGTAAATATTGGGCAAGCCTGGGGCTCAGTCTTGTCCAGGAAAACATCGCAAACATGGCCCACCCTGGAGATGGCTGCATCTGCGGTTCAGCGCTTACCCTGTGAACTAACTGGGCTTGCCATATTCTTGGGTGCCAGGGTGGGCATTCAGCCAGCCAACCAACATGGGGGCAGAAGGGACAGAAGATTTACAACAGTGTTTCCTTCCTAAACATATTTTCTGCATTTTAAGATCTACGGATTCTGCTGGAGTAAACTTTCTAACAAGCAGGCTTAGCCTACCTTCGACAAGATAAAGACAGCACTCTGAGTATGCCAGAAGGGGCCTTCCTGTCAGTGAACCACTGTGCCCTAGCAGTGGGTGAGAGCAGGCATGCTGCTTGTTGGAGTGAGGTGCTTGCTCTCCTCGCTTTTTCACTCTGGAACGACCTATCCTTCAATTGTGTAAATGGGGACAGACTTCCAGCACCACCTCATTATGAGGACCCTGACATGGTTGTGCATGATAGGAGTTCTAGGAGCCTGGCATCCTTGCTGCCTCTGATGCTGGAGGTAATAAGCACAGATAGCTTTTCTCTGAGTAGAGTGACCTACTCAGCCACCACACTCAGCCTCTGGGGCCTTCCTCTGTGCTAGCCCTAAGGGAGGCTTGGAGAGTGACAGCAGGGGGGAGGGCTTTCTCTGAGGTGGCCCCCATCTAGCGCCAAACTTGCCAGTTTGTTACCTGGGGCCTGTAAGGATTATCCTGGTGATTGTTTTCCTTTGCAGAGTCTTTTTTCTTTACTGTATTAGATTTTAATATTATTTTGCACTGCATTGTATTATTTCATTTTATGCACTGTACTAAACCACTCCCAGAACTTCAGCTATGGGGCAGTGTAGAAATGAAATGAATAAATAATAACAGCAGCTTTTTCCACCATGATTTTTCTAATCCTTTTGAAAAGCCACTCATGTTGATGTGCATCACCGTGGCAGCAAACGCCATGGTTTAACTCCTTGCCCCTGCCTAGCCTTCAGAGCAGGTCTGTCTCCTTGCAGCACTACCTGCAGATATGTTCACCTGTCCTGTGAGCTGCAGTGTGTCCAGGTGTTCTATAAGCTCCAGAACCGGTATCACGCCCCCTGAAGAATTAGGAGATCACCATACATACCAATACCATGGAGGGGGAGATCCTGCCTGTTGCTTCTTAATAAGGGCATTGGGGCGGAGCAGGGCAAGGCCAGGAGGCAGTAGGTGCAAACCGCTGCTACTCACCTGCGAGAGATCCGCTATCACCGTGGTGACCAGGTAGAGCAGGATCAGCCAGATTTTCATGGTTGCAGAGGTCCTGCGGAAGACACGCGTGTTTACTCCCAGCAGAAGATGCCCCTGGCTCCACCCTGCACGACACTGAGCGGTTCCTCACGAGAGGCATCTGACGAATCGCCCCCCCAGGCCCGTTGTTTTCTCCCTGCCTCGACCCCTCCCGCGCTCGCAGGCGCTTCTCTCCCACTTTTCGCAATCTCTGATCACGTGCCTGAAGAAAACTTTAGTTTCGCTCTCCTGCGGGGAATTCCATTTTCCAGCAACTCTTGCTGGGCAGAAGCAATCGGAAGGAGTGATGAAATAAGAAAATAATCCAGAGGGGATGGGTGGGGAGGGTAAGACATTTCTAAAGAGCAGAGGAAATAAGGAGTCAAGAAATTACCGTTTCTGCACGAAGTTCTTCCAACTGTTGTGACATACCTTATCTAAAGCTGCCTTCTCAGAGGGAAATGGGGGGATGAGAAGAGCAGGGGCTCTCCATCCCATTGGTTGGCTGCAGGCAGCGGCCCGTTAAACATTAAGCACGATTGATTCCCTGAGAGATGCAAGTTCCCGTAAATCATGGCACAGGACAAATGGTCATAGGCCAGTTCTGGGAAATACACCAATCGAACTGGTAAGAGGGGTAGCACTGGTAAAGAAAGCCTTTAAGGGGTACTTTCTGACAGCAAGCTTTCTAACTGAGCCGCGTCACCTCTTTAAATGCATAGGAAAAGGCAGAGAGGAGCCATGCACAGATTCCCAGCCAGCATAACTGAGCAGAAGGGTAAATTTCGAGGTGCCTCCATCCAGTTTGCATCTGCTTAGCAGCTGCAGCCTATCGTGTCTTCCCGTCCGGGTACGTATGGGAAAATGCAATCACGATTAACAGGCACTGAAGGCTTTCTGAACTTATCCACGTATTAAATCCAGAGCTGGCAACTTCCCGCAGGGCAAGGGCTACTTTCCAGGCTGGCATGTCCGGAGGTGGGGGCCGGGGCCGGGGCCGGGGCCGGGCCAGAATGGGTGGAGCCAAAGCAAAAGGGGCGGACCGAAGCAAATTCTAAGAGCAACAACAACCCTACAGTTTCCCTTTCCCCTTTATTCCTTACTTCCCACTTGATTTCATCTTTTGTGACTCATTTCATAGTTTATTTTCTGAACTGTATTTATTTCCCCTCAATACCGCATCTTCCCCTTTTACTTCATATACAGCGTGGTCCCATTACTTCTCTGGAAGTAAGTCCTGACAGTGCTGGGGGAGTGATCGAGGGAAAGGGGAGCGTTAGTTCCAAAAGGATCATCCCAGAGTGGGGGAAGGAGCATTAATGCCACATGCACTTTGGGATATGTTGTGAGCCGCCCCGAGGCTTCGGCGAATGGGGCAGAATAAAAACGTTTTAATAAATAATAAATAAAATAAATGAGCAAGTACGGCATGTGGTGCATGAAGAGGCAAAATAGTCTAAGGGGAATCTGCACTAGTGGTGACTAATCAGGAAAGGAGTCTTGGAGCTGGTGTACAGCATGATGGAAATGTCAACTCTGTGTGCGGCTGCTGTGCAAAAGCAAATTCCAAACAGGGCATCATTAGGAAAGGAATGAAAAATAAAACTGTCAGGAACAGAATGTCTTTATACAAATCCAGGGTGCAATCACAGTTGCAGTACTGTGTACAGCTCTGGTCAGTGCACTTCCAAAAGAACATTGCAGAGACATAAAAGCTGCAAAAACCTGGCCCACCAAAACTATCAAGGTCGCAACATTTGGGGCTTTTTAGTTCAGAAGAAAGGCGAGGATGTATAATATGATAATGGTGTATAGAATCATGCATGGTGTGAAGAAAATGGATAGGGAGATTTTTTTCCTCTTACTCCCTTAATATTTATTTATTTATTACAAACATTTGTGTCCCATCCTTGTGCATAAGTGCTCAGGACAGCTTACACAGTATAAAATTAAAATACTACAATAATTAAACCATGATTATTAAAAGCATATAAACTGAGCATTATCAACTAAAAGGAAAAGGAAGAAAAATAGAAAATAGAAAATGCAACTAAGAACAGTGGATAAAAAAAAACTTAAAACATCTAAAACCCTTGATTATTAAAATGATGGTTAAATAAAAAGGTCTTTACCTGGCACTGGAAGGAGTATGTATTAGAACCTGGGGTCACCCCATGAGGCCAATCTGTGGGAGATTCAAACCAAATAAAAGAAAATGTGTCTCCACGCAGCACATAGTTCAGCTAGAGGAGCTGCTACCACCAGGTGTAGTGCTATTTGAAGGCCAGACAAATAAATGGTGGAGAGAGCGATCAGTGGTTCTCCATTCCCTCCAGTAGGCCTCCTGATAGCATTGCTGGTAACCTGAGTGAAACGCTATTGCACTTGTGGGCTGAACTTCTGATAGGTGTTGTGTTCATTCCCGCAGGAACAGAATGCTGTACTAAATAGGGTTTTGGTTGAATCCAGCACAGCTCTTCTTATGTTCTTCCCCAGACCTTTCCCTCCTTCTCAGTTGCATGAAGGAGTCGCTTCACTGCAATGGAAATCAATGCCTTGGAATCCATTTCTTGCCACCGATAAATGAAGTCATGACTTTTCTCCCCTCCCCTCACATGCACTTCCTGTTCTGTTTACATTTGCTACCCAGTTTTAGTTAACATTGTGTACTACACCCTGAAATTGTGTCCTTGTATCTACTGAGCCTCTTTTTTCAACAGAGTTCTGATATTTACCCACTAGGTTGGGAATAAATTCCCTGTCCAACTAATCATGCCAAGGATTTTTGTGTCCCTTTCCTGTTCTTTGTGGACAGCATATTAACTATGTCCTTGATCCTAGGTTTTTGTATACCTCATACTGTCAGCTTTTCTTCCTGATATAGTATTTCTTGGACTGGGCACACATGATTCTATTGATTAAGACTTACTCCAGTTTTGCCAATTCCTTTTAGAGTATTAGAAGATGCTTTCACTTCACAGCAAGTATATGAACACCTTCAAATGTTTGGACCAAAGCAGACATATATGTGCTTTCAGTAAACATGCATCTAGTTTACCTATAAATTGCAGATGGGGGTCTGCTTTTATTACTAACTAGTGCATGCAGGAAAAACACATACAAGTATACCCCAGCCTTACTGGTCTCCAGTCTATTGTTTCAATACCTGCCCCTTCAGCCCAGCTCTGATACCAGAGTGAGCCAGTTGGGAAAACATTATTTAAATAGTAGGGGCAGCTGGCAGATTTTGCTACTCTCCTTCCTGAACTTCATCTAATAAGAAAAGTAGTCCCCCACTGCTACTTTAAGATCAAAATGGCGAAGTTGGCGCATATGCTTAGCAAATGCATATCTGATTTGCCCCTCAGCGGTACCTTTTTGTTAATGACTTCACTAGCACAGTACAGATAGCATGAAAGCCTTTTCAAGCCATATTTCCCAAAATATGTCATGTTTATCCCCTGCCCACTCCCACAAGGGTATGTGCAAGGGATATATTCAAAGTGGAAAAATATTTGACAGCTGCCATTTCCCCAAATGGGATGATGTAACAGTGTCCTGAAAGAGCAGGAGGTGGATCCAATGGCCTTCTAGTCCCTTCTAACTCTATGATTCTATGGAATAATTTATACCTGTGGGGAATGGGGAAATATTTCCTCCTGACATAATTGTTGAATTGTTCTAGGTTCAGGCAAAAAAGCTAATACGCCAGAGTGTTGGGTTTTCTACTTTTTCAACAGTGCCTGCTTCTGTGAGTTTGCCCGGTTTTTCCTTGAGTCTTTTCCTTCAAACTACGGGAGCATATCCTAGAGCATGAAATACTGGGATCTAGCTGTTTATTTTTGTGCTCAACCTTCTACTGTTCCCCTTCTACTATTCTCCTAAATAATACAATAGATTTACAGTACTCTGTTACTCTATTGTAAGCCACCTAGGAAGGCATAGGCAGCCTATAAATACATGTAAATAAATAAATAAATAAATAAATAAATAAAATTTTTGCTCCCTGCTCTTTCTTTACAGCAATTTACAGGGGGTTTGCAGGCAGCAACAAGCAAAAATAAACACACATCCAAAACAATTCCCCCCTGAATTCCTTTTTTGGAGCAGCAATAGCTCACTGAATTCTGGATCAGGGCCACCTGCACCATGTATTACCGGGAGGGTGCAGGCAGCATTCGAAGAAGCTGCTGGAAGTTGGAAGGTGCTTGGAAAAAGAGGAGGGCAAGGGGCTGGTTTTTCTGAACAGTGCCATTTTCTAGTGAATAAAAATAGAAGGGGACATTAGGGAACGACCCTTGTCCCTTGTCAGATGATAACCAAAGGACAAGAATGGGAAGAGGTTGCAGTACTTTGCAAGCAGCATGTAGAAGACGGCAAAGGAGTGGTGTCCATTCGTCCCAGCATCACCAAAGAAAGGAACCCATCTCTCTTGTTCATCCGCATGCAAAGAAACAAATATGCCTCAAAAGGACAACATAACCTCCCTCTTCTCTCCCAGCTGCAGCACAATATTAAGGCTTGTTGCATAATACAAACACATATGATGAAACACAGGTGACCTCCCAAACTTCTCCTGCCCCTTTTACACAGTTAAAACACTATGCGTGGTTCTGTGTGTGGTCCTTGTTCCCTTTGGAAACACATTGGATACTGTGCTGCATTCATTCATGAGAACCCACAGAATAGCAATCACACTTTGAAAAACTGCCAGCACTGCAATGAAAGGAGCTCTAGTGAAGGTCCTCCTCAGATATGTGCAAGTCCTCATTCTCTTATTTGGGTTGCATCTGCAAATGTGCTTGGAATACAGAACTACAACCCACAAACTAGCAGTTAAGGGCTTTTCTCCATGAGGATTTTATCCCACCTTTTTGCTGAAACTGAAGCATCGTGAATCTTTGCAAAATTAAGAGTGGCTGCTTTACACATGTTTTTCCTCCCCAAGTTCCATCTTTCTCTGCCTTTGCATATGTTCCGTTACACAACTGCAGTGGCACTGCAGTATAAGTATAGCAGAACTGTGCAAGTACATGAGAGTTTCATGCCACCAGTCACAGAAAATACCAGACTTTTCTTGATCTAAAAATGCCATGGGAAATGTTGTAAAGAACGAAAGGGCCCTTGAAGAATGACTACATCATGGACAACCCTCACAAGCTACCTTGAATGAGGAATCAGAAGTGCACAATAAGTGCTTTGTGTAGAAAGGCTCGAGCACTATACCCCAAACTGAGAGGGAAGATGTGACAAGGTGTTCACAACAACTTGCCACCAGAAAGGAATGGAGAGTAATTGCAAGTAATAACAGGACTATCAGCCATCTGTACTTTTGTCCAGGAGAGTGAAAGACTGAGAGAGAAGGCTTGTATTCATCCCTTCAAAATCACCACATAAAATCTCTGGGATTTATTTTTCAAAAGACTGAACATTATGTGCCATCATCA